TATCAGCAAAACTTAATGATGACTTCCTGGGGAAAAAGTTTTTAGCTGATAATTAGTCACGAACCTCCAAACTCACATTTGGATTCAGGGCATTCCTAGTTCCATTCCAACATGAACATTTGTTTTCCCGTTAGGGGAAGCAGATACAACTTAAGAATTTCATTTGCATCAGCTCCAATGCTTCTTGAAATAAATGTCAAGAATTTGGGGCAAACATCTAACCTCAAAATGAGGGTTTAATGAAGTCCAGGGAAGTTGGAGTTAATTTAGGGAAGAAGACGCGCTTAATTCCTATTAATATTTATGTTTCTCCAAAAATAAGACCCGGTCTTATATTTTTGGAGGCTCCAAAAGCAGCATTAGAGATTATTTTCGGGGAAACACAGTACATATTGCATGTGACATGCATGTGTGTGTGTTTCAGCAGAGAAAGCTGACTAGTGTGATCCCTAGTCAGGCAGGCTGGAAAGAATGTTGGATTTCCACTCATCTTCTGGTTTTCTTTACAGGATTACAATGTCAGCACCAATGATTCCGGGCTACATCTTCTCCTAGCCCAGGAAAGGCTGCAGGCTGCCCCGAAGGATCTGCAGTAGTCCCAGTTGCTGCAAGTGAGTGGCAAGCGCATTAGATCATGTCTCGGCATGTTTTGGAAGGGAGAAGGTGCAGCTGATGCTTGGATTTGCACACTGGCGGCAAGAGACTGCAGTATTTATCTGAGGGAGGGAGGGAGGGAAATGCTTCCAGGTTTTTTGCCCAGGGCAACAGACTAGACTGTCTTGCCCTCACCGTGTGTGTGTATGTGTGTGTGTGTGTGTAAATATTTATATATACATGTATACATGTATACACTTATACACACACACACCCACACCCACACCCACACACACCCACACACACGCCCTGCAGTCTCTTGCCAGCAGCTTGCACCTTCTCCCTTCCAAAGCATGCCAGGATATGACCTGAAGAACACCTAGCTTGACCTGCTATTAAAACGCCTCTCGGCTCCTTCCCAAAAGGAAGGTGGCTCTTCTCTATGATTCACCACCTTCCATAGCGCAAGGGACGGTGGGCAAGTCTCACTTTTAGTTTTTGATGTACTTGCAGCAACTGAGACTGCTAAGGGCAGCACCAGCAGCAGGTGGAGGCAGGCATGGGGCCTCCCATTCCATGTCCAGCAGCCTCTGCAAGCATATTTCAGGCAGCCATGAACTCATTTGGCTCTTGGTCCCTCCCAAGCCACTGACATGAAAGAATCTTCAGCCAGAGCAGCCTGGTGCAATTTAATGCTTTTAATTTACAAATAAAAAACCTGGTTACTAATACTACAGTACTTCTTTTCTTTCCTGGCTTCGCTTTTTTCCTTCTCCTTTTCCTTATTATCCTCCTTACTCTCCTTTTCCTGCCCCTCCTTCTTGGCATCTGTTGCCAATCTTGTTGTTGATGAGGTTGCGCACCAAACGGATCAGGCAAGGCAGATGGTGGGGCAGGAGTGGTGCCATGCCGCAGCACCCATGCACTTGCTGCCTCCTGTGGTGGCCATGGTCACTCCACTCCTCCCAGGGCTGACGCTCTTGACTGGGACTTATATTGGGATAGAGCTTATATTTAGGAGCATTCTAATAAATCATGCTAGGGCTTATTTTCTACTTGGGTCTTATTTTTGGGAAAACATGGTAGCAGATGATGATCTTAAGGTTAGGTAGATGCCTGACTAGAGGCAAGGTGAGGCAGGGGGTGACATCCAAGATGGCTGTGCTTGTAAACACTGTGACTTTGAGCTCCTGGTGTTTTATAATGGAGTGAGTGGGCAAAAACTAGTCTATACCCGCGGGGAGTTATTAAAGATTGGATTTTCTAGTCGACTAGATATTACCAGCAACTTCCAGCAGTCTCATAATATACCGAGTGATGTAATAAAACTGCCAGGCTCTCCATGGATCGTTGTTGGGCCTGGGAGGAGATGTCAACAATGAAAAGAGAGAAAGCAGAAGCAGGGATGCAGAGCTGGTTTGCTAGCTCAGTTACGGAAGCAGCCTCACAGACCAGCATTACCAAGTATTTTTCTAACCAATGCTAGATCCTTTGTCAACAAAACTGAAGAACTAGAGCTATGGATGGCGGCAAATAAGCTCATTCACGACTGTGTGATGATTATTAGAGAGACCTGGCTTCATCCACTTTTACTGGATGTGTCAGTGGAGCTAACTAACCACACCACACACCACTTTGACAGAAATGGCAATTGCAGTAAAAGCAAAGGTGGAGGACTTTGTATTTACACACATGTAATGACTGGCTCACTAACAGTAGAGTTGTTTATATACACTGTTCTCCAGATGTGAAATTTTTAACTGTCATTTGTTGGCCATTTTATTTACCTAGAGAGATTTTTTATAGTTATAGTTACTGTCTATATTCCATCTGATGCAAATGTTAGCACAGCGCTAAGTTACATGACGCCATGTCGTATTTTGAAATGTTTGAGACTGCATCTCAAATGATCCATCTGTTAAACTTCTGAAGTTTGCAGATGATACAACAGTGATTGGTCTCATTTGAGACAATGAAGAATCCGCATACAGATGGGAAGTTGTACAATTTGCCTCGTGGTGTAATCAGAACAATCTGGAACTGAACACACTCAAAACCATAAAAATGGTGGTAGACCTTAGGAGAAACCCTCCCATACTACCACCTCTTACAATACTGGACAACTCTGTATCAACAGTAGAGACCTTCAAATTTCTAGGTTCTATCATATCAAAAGACCTAAAAGGGATACCTAACATCAAAAATGTCATCAAAAAAGCAGAACAAAGAATGTTCTTTCTGCGCCAACTCTGAAAGCTCAAACTGCCCAAGGAGCTGCTGATCCAGTTCTACAGAGGAATTATTGAGTCCACACCTCCATAACTGTCTGGTTTGGTTCTGCAACCCAACAGGACAGACACAGACTTCAGAGAGTAATTAGGACTGCAGAAAAAACAATTTCTACCAACCTGCCTTAAATTGAGGACCTGTATACTGCACGAGTCGGAAGGCTGTGAAAATATTTACAAGGCCCCTCACATCCTGGACATCAACTGTTTCAACTCCTACCTTCAAAACGATGCTATAGAGCATTGCACACCAGAACAACTAGACACAAGGACAGTTTTTCCCCGAACGCCATCACTCTGCTAAACAAATAATTCCCTCAACACTGTCCAACTACTTACAAAGTCTGCACTACTATTACTATTAATCTTCTCATCACTCCTTATCACCCAGCCCCTCCCACTTGTGACTGTATGACTGTAGCTTTGTCACTTTATATTGACTGTGACCTAGTATGATTTGATTGCTTATTGTACCCTATGACTATTATTAAATGTTGTACTTGATGATTCTTGACAAATGTATCTTTTCTTTTATGTACACTGAGAGCATTTGCAACAAGACAAATTCCTTGTGTGTCCAATCACACTTGGCCAATAAAGAATTCTATTACTATTACTATTATTTCATGTTTTGGGGAGGGGGGTGCTGTACCAAGGGAGGCTCATTCAATTTCATTGAACACATGTTGTGTACTGACAATAAAGGTAAGGTTTGATCTGATTTGATTTGAGGCATACTATGTACTCATAAAGTGTGGTCTAGTTCCTTTTGAGTGGAAAGTCATTCCACGATTCTCGATCATTTTATCTTTTTTCTGTTTTGTTTGTTTTTGAGTTTTTCTTCCTTGTTTTTTGGAAGCCCATATATTCTCATACAGATAATCCCTGAGTTATGACAGTTCACTTAGCGACCGTTCAAAGTTATGACCTAGCCTCCCCCAAATAACTTACAACCTAGCCCCGAAGTTACGAATGTTACAGCACTACAGTCGTTGTTCACACTTACGAACAACGGCAGAAGTACTGCAACATTCCCCCCATCTATTCCCCCCTGGGGTCTCCACAGCCATTAAGCCTGTGGCGACTTATGTACCTTGAGATGATCTAGCTACTGTCAGTTCCATTGCCTGCTTTGGTGCATTTGCAGAAAACGCACTACTGATCTCGTGTGATCTTGCACTACAATATGTTAGACCATTATTTTCTGTGAACTGAGGCCCGTATAAGATCTGAGGCAAAAGGCTTTGCAAACAGAGGAACAGAGGAAAAGAGAGAAACAGAGGAAGGCCCCGGATCTCATGCAGGCCTTAGTTTGTAGAAAACAGAGGCCTAACATACTGTAATGCAAGATCACATGAGATCAGTAGCGCAAGATCTCGCGCTACTGATCTCACATGACCTTGCACTACAGTCATTTAGGCCTCTGTTCTTTGCGAACCAAGACCTGTACTAGATCTGGCCGAAGGTTTGCAAGCCAACGAGACTTTGGGGCAGCGAAATCACCTTGCTTGAAGCCTCCATTGGCTTGCAAATGCCTTTCGCACCATTCCAGTCTCGGTGCGAAGAGCGTTTACAAGCCGATGGGAGGCTTCAAGCAAGGCGATTTCACTGCCCCGAAGTCTCATCAGCTTGCAAATGCTCTTCATGCCAAGACTACAAAGAAACCGTGGGAGAGAGACTGGAGGGGAGGCAGATCTTCACAAGTTAAGTGACCCGGCAGGGTAGGATGGGAGGGGGGAACAATTGTGGGGATGCCAGGAGTGGGAGTACACAGTATCCCAGTGAGTTTGGGGAGGTCTTGTGTGGTCTAAACCAGATGGCCTGTTCCATCGCTAGGCTCCCATGGCCTTCCCCACTCTGAGATACCTCGTGTGCATTGAATAACCCACACATTTGATTAGCTAATGTGAGCGCGAAAGCAGGGAGTGATTGCAAGTCAAGGTACACAATTCACTCCTACAAATCCTCGGGTTACAAATGTAATTGGCAGGCTCAATTGTATTCGTAAGTCAAAGACTACCTGTATATGTAAACACGAGAAATTAAGAAATCATATAAATTAAGGCTTCTAGCAAATGTATTTTTCTTGTTACAAAGTCAAAATGTGGATTTCATTACCTAATAGCTGCCACTCCATGGCCAACTTCATGTATAATACCACTGATGAGGATTGCTGTGAAGAAATAGGACAGCTGGCTGATGGGAAGGTTTACACCAGGTACCTGTTTTCAAAGACATAACAAGATACAAGGCAGCAAGAGATGATTGGTCTTCCTGCATTCTGTTAACACAATTGCCCTAAAAACTACTATAGATTTCCCAGTGCTCTTATAAATAACTCATTTTCATGAAAAAAAGTAAGATACAAAAAAGGAAAATTATAGTCAGATATAATCCTGTCATATTTACATAACTATCCTGGTTGAAGAACCCCTAATTTCAAATCACAAGTATTAGTGAAGAATTCTTCATTTTATTGTCCCAAAGGTGCTTTATCAAAAGACTTTTCTTCTTTTTTCCTTGAAAATGTTTCGCTTCTCATCCTCAAAAACTGATGAAGCTTCTTGGATGAGAAGCAAAACATTTTCAAAGAAAAAAACAACAGTCTAGTTGTCTTTTAAATAAGTACCTTTGGCACAACCAGGACCTGGGTGATTGAGAATATAGTCATTTGTTTGACCCCGTACCGCAGTTCTACAGTATGACTCTGAGGTTTCAGCAACTTTGAGACATAATATCTCTAGCAATATTTTGTTGAGCGAAACACAACTTGGCCATCTTGTACAACTTTTTGTGCTCTATTTGTTTAATAAAAACATTCTCATGAGCAATCTCCAGCTAGATAATTTGGAGTAAAGTTGGCTGAAAATGTTGTGGCTCTAAAAAGGTTAAATTTTGGGTTAAATTATCTAAATGGAGATTGCTCATGAGAATGTTTTTATTTTGTTTAATAGAGCACAAAAAGTTGTACAAGATGGCCAAGTTTTGTTTCGCTCAATAAAATATTGCCTGAGATATTATGTGTCAAAGTTGCTGAAACCTGAGTCATACTGTAGAAGGCTGTGATATGGGATCAAACAAATGACTATATTTCTGCAAGTATTGCATTGGCAAACATAACACTTTACCATTTGATGGTATAAGTCAATTTTTAAAAGTGCTATTCAAAATCCACTGCATTCAATATAACTGTTTTGGATAGCTATCTACAGATAGAATAAGTTTGTATACAGATCAAATGAATGCAAAACATGTTAAAAGGCATATATTTTGATTTTAATGTGCTAAAACAATTTTATCTTGATATTATTTGATTGCTTATTGCAAATAAAATAGTAAGAACACATTAATAAAAATACAACATAGGGAGGGGAAGTTACCACACCTCTCCATAAATCATATATGATTAGGTGTTTACAAGCCATATTTAATTGAACATGCAGTTCAGCTCTCATTTATAAATACAAACTTAACTGCATTTAATATTATATTCATTGCCAAGTCTGGACTACAGTTATTTTGTGGCAAGTTCAAAAGAGAGCCAATTTGATCTCAAGCTGAAAAACTGAAAATTTAAACAGGCTTTTATTACTTTACTCATTTTTATAAGATGACAATGGCAATACATTAAAACAGGAAAAAATTAAAATGTTTTAATAAAATATAATTATATTTAACATCAAAGTATTAAAAACACAGTAAACCAAATACAAAGATGACAATTTGCAGAATACAAGCCCTTTGGAAAAGTTCGATTTTTAACATTATCTGGAACACCATTAAGAAAGGAACAATTTGATGAGAGGAAGCATATATGTCGTGATCAATGCCACAACAGAAAAACACTTCTTGTTTTTGGCTAACATGGGGAAAGAGCGTTGGTTCTTACCTGAAACGCATCTTCTAGTAGTACGGGAGGAGAATCCAAAGCGTGGGTAGTCTCTGCTTCCTTCCTTGAAGACTGAGTCAATCAAAGCTTAGTTCTGCCTCCTTCCACTGCGCATGCCCAGTTTTTGATGAAGGCTAATGATTGACTTGGAGATTTCTTGGTGCTCTTTCTTGATGGTCCTAAACTCGGGACTGACATTACTCGGGTGGGTTTGGATTCTCCTCCTGTACAACTAGAAGATGTGTTTCAGGTAAGAACCAACACTCTTTCTCAATTGTATGGGTCAGAGAATCCAAAGTGTAGAGCGTACCCAAACCAGTTGTCCTAAGGGTGGGCAATAGTCTAGTCCCGAATCCCCGCCTCCATGTGAACTCTTTGTAGTACCCTTCTTCCAAAGGCTGCCTCTGCTGACGCGAAGGTATCCAACTTATAGTTCCTGATGAACAGAGATGGTGATGATCACATTGCTGCCTTACAGATCTCTTCAATTGGGGCCTGTGTGTTCCAAGCTGCCGCTGTGGCTGCGCTCCTGGTTGAGTGTGCCTTTATACTACCTGGGAGCTGTAATGACTGGCTTCCATAAGCCTTTGTAATACATGCTCTGATCCACCGACCTATGATTGATGGTGAAAGCTTTTGACCCAAAGAACCAGGTCTGATTGATATGAACAATGTTTCCATTCTCCTAATGGCCCTAGTTCTCCTAATATATATGCATATTGCTCTCCTTACGTCTAAAGAGTGCCACTTCTTTTCTAAGCTATGGACTGGTTCCGGGCAGCAGTCTGGTAGCACGATTTCCTGAGCTCTATGGAATGTGAAATTCACCTTTGGAATGAAGGTCAGATCCAGCCTTAATACTACTCTGTTTGGATGGAATATGCAAAGATCCTCCCCCTCACAGATAAGGCCACTAATTTGGATATCCTTCTGCCCGATGTAATGGGCCACTAGGAAGGCTACCTTAAGGGTAAGCAAGTGCAAACTAACTGACCTCAATGGTTCAAATGGCTCTGTCATGTCAAATGGCACCTTCGTCAGGTCCCAGGTGGGGTACCTGTGAATCACTGGTGGCCTTAAGTGGTTGCCCCTCTGATGAATGTGCGGACCAGGGGATGTTGTGTAAGGGATGCCAAGGTCTCACAACCCAACACTGATTCTATCGCCACTACCTGCCTACAGGATTTGTTGGGAGCCAGGCCCTTTTCCAGACCCTACTGGAGGAAATCCAGAACCTGTGTCACTAACACTGTGGTTGAGTCGATTTTTCTTGGAACACCAACTTTCAAATGCTTTCCAAGTAGCATCATAAATTCTATTGGTTGATGGCCTCCTAGAGGCCTGGAGTGTTTGTATTACATTAGCTGAACATTCTAATTGACTCACTGTGGCCCTCTTAAATGCCAGATGGTCAATTGAAGCCATTGTTGCTCTGGATGTTGTATTGTCCCCTGGGTCAACTCTATTCTGTCTGAGGGAATTCTCCATGGTCTGGCTACTGACAGGTCCACCAGATCCAGGTAACATGACCCCCTGGGCCAGTGAGGTGCTATGAATAAGTCCTTCGCCTCTTCCTCTCCACTTTTTTTATTACTCTCGGTATTAATGGGAGTGAGGGAAATGCGTAAAGTAGACCCCTGGGCCATGCCCCTCAAAGAGCATTGGTCCTTTCCGCCCCATGTTGAGAATCTTGAGAAAAATCTCAAGAGTTGTGCATTTGCTGGGGACGCAAATAGGTCAAGGACTGGTTTTCCGAACCTGTGTGTCAGTTCCCTGAATAGGTCCAGGTGTAGATGCCATTCTGCATGGTCGACCATCATTCTGCTGAGCCAGTCTGCTTGCATGTTCTCTGCCACTGAGATATGCTCTGCTCTCATTGATAGATGTTTCTCCACCCAGTGGCCAAAACATTCTGCCTCTTGCATGAATGCCAGGGAGTCCCCCCCGCCGTCTGTTGATATGTGCCTTGGCAATCACATTGTCCATCAGGATCAAAACATGCTGACCTACTACTCTTGTCTTCAAAGTTCTTAGAGCCAGGTGCGTAGCCCTGAGCTCCAGCCAGTTGATGTTGTTCTTGAGGTCTGTCTTGGACCACTGGCCCTGTGTAATCTGAGTCATACAGTGGGCCCCCCAATCTACCAGGCTGGCATCTGTTCTAATGGTTAGTCAGTTGGGTTCCTTGAACCCACAACCCTTGGTCATGGCCTGTGAACTCCACCTCTGAAAGGAAACTTTCACTCTGGAAACTTCTGGGACCTGTATCTTTGACCTTGCATTGTCCTTCCCTGCTCTCTGGCAAGGTAATAGAAACCATGTCCAGCAGGTGTTGTACTGCTGTCTCCATGATGACGTTTTTGGCTCTGTCCCTTGGTATCGGGCACCTTCTGAATGAGTTCGGAGGTCTGGAAAGGAATTCTAGAAATAGGCCTCTTCTTACTGTGTCCCGGACCCACTTGTCCGTTGTTATTGTCTCCCATCGGTTGGCGAATAGGCCCAGTCTTCCGCTGATGGGTGTGTTGTTCCGACTGTCACTTTGTGTGGCCAAGGGCTTGTTGGAGGGGCCCTTGAATGGTTGTCTTCCTTGGAAGCATTGACTGCCCCTGTCTCTAAATCTGGATCTATCCGGTTGCCTGGTTGGCATCTGTGTGTACTATCTCTGGGAATACTGGGAGTGACCGAAGCCGCCCCCAGAGGCTGGAAAGGACTGCCATCACGTGTATGGTGATGACCGCCTATCTGCTTGACCAAACTTCCTAGGCAAGAACTTTCTCTTGTCTTTAGTCTCGATCAGTAGTGGTTCAATGGCTTCCCCAAGTAGCTTGTCCCCTTTAGCTGGGGCCGAAGCAAGTTTCCACGTATGCTTCAAATCCGCCTGCCAGTGGCAGAGCCAAATTAGACGCTTTACTGCCACTGAAGCTGCTATACCCTTGGTAGCATACTTGACCCCACTGAGGGTGGCATCAGCTATTAGCTGCATTGCTGCTATTATTTTGTTTAAATCCTGTTCGAAGATCACCAGGTGGTGCCCTCTCCTACATCTGTTCAAGCCATATCAGGACTGTCCTGCTAAAAAATGAGGCAGTAGAATTTGCTTTTACTGACCATGCTGCAGCTTGGTGGACCTTTTGGAGGGTCTGCTCCACCTTCTTGTCTTCCCCTTTTAGACCGTCTTCTGCATCATTGGTCAAAACGGCAGTAGACGTAGAAGCCGCCACTGCTCCATCTATTGTTGGAACTGGGATCAAATCCGCAGCTTCCATGTTATAATTCCTCTTCTCATTTCCCCCTGGTGTTGAGAAAATTACTGGTCGGTCCAGCTGCCCTTCCATTACCTCTCTGAACAATTCAGGTGAGGGCACCACTTTGCTTTTTATCTTAGTTCTTGCAAACAGCCTGTCTTTTGGGTTTGATGGTTTTAGATCAGATTCCTCTGTAGCTGTTACCTTCCCCAATCCTGTTGCTACTTTGGCTTTCCCTAGCAGCATCTTAAACAGCTGCTGGTGAAATAGGCCGGTGAACGCTGGGGTTTCTGTCTCATAAACCTCTTCATCTGAAAAGGCTGACTCTTTCAGATCATCCTCCCCTGAAACTGAAGCCTCACTTTGGGTGTATGACCTAATTGAATTGGATCTCTGGAACCTCAATTCCTCCCCTGCTTCTCCTGTCAGTGAGGGATGTTGTGCCTCCTGCCTTTTCTCATTATGCACCAGGTTAAGTCTATTACCTTGCCCATCCCTAACCTCTGAAAGCATTTCCCACATTATGGCCCTTATTTCCTCCCTAAGGGATTGTTCCCTGAGTCCTGCTGCTGTAAAACTGGCCTCTGTTGCCAGCCTCCTCCTCTTGGGGGGAAGGCTCCTGGCTTTCATTGCATTCCTGGGGCTTTCCTTGCTTCGCTGTCATTTTCTTCTAAACAAAGAGCTGGTTGAAAAAACTGCTCATCAGCGCCCTCTGGTGTTGACTCTCTGGTGCTCTTCTCCTGATGCTTTGTTTCCATTGGCCTGCCCGCTGGAACACAGGAATTTCCATTTCTCTCTGCCTCCTTCTCAGCCCTTGCAAAGCTCTTTTCAATGGCCCTTTGTCTCCTTAAGGCTTCTCTCTCATCTGATTTGGATGTCTAGATTAGTGGTTTCTCTCTCTCTTCTATCCTTGATGATCTAGTAGCCTCCCTGGGTCCCTTTGAGCCCTGCTCTCTATTAGGGCTTGGGTCAGGCGATCCCTGATCTTCCAAGCCGTTTCTGAAAAATCAGCCATGTTGTCCCCTTTGTTGTCTGGAATAATAGCTTTGCTCTCGCTGGAGCTCAGCTGGAGTGGTCTGCTAGTTCCTGAACACTCAAGCATATGCTTAGCCAGGAATGAGTATGGACTCTAGCCCCCTTTCAACTGGGTGGACTTGCAGGGTTGTTTCCGGAGCTCACTCAGCTGCAACTGAGTGTCTTGTCTTTGTCTCTTAGGACCCCTTTTAAAAACTGTTGGAGGCTACGCGGAGGCTCCTGTATCTGTTGTCCTTTGCTTAACCCAAGCTAGCTCTGCTCTTTTGGAGCTGCCGTGGCTGCCCATCAGCTGTTTGGCGGTCCCTTGCTTTATCTTTGCCCGGTGGCTTCAGGATGGCCAAGCACTTGCCTACCGGTTCCTTCCCTGATGGCCAAGCGCAAGACCACTTGCTCACTCTGGGGCCACCACTGCTTTCTTCTGAGCACTAAACAACTGTTTAGCGCTCTCCCCACTTGCAAGAGAATCCCGGGCTCTGTCTGTCCATGGCTTCCACTCCCTTTTTGCTTTACTCACAGTTAGCTGTTTTTAAGTTTGCTTCTTTCCAAATTCAAAGAATCCAAAGTGTGATTAATTTCTTCCTTTGAGCACTCTCTCCATGTGTCTTCTTTGCATGAAGACTGAGTCAAAAATTTGGCATGCGCAGTTGAAGGAGGTAGGACTAAGCTTTGTTGACTCAGTCTTCAAGCAAGGAAGCAGAGACTACCCACACTTTGGATTCTCTGACCCGGCCAACTGACTATAAGTGATAACTTTCCCCAGGAAAAAAGCATAGTAATGAATCAATTCTATTTAGAAAAGGCAATCCTGCAAGTATCTAGGTGACAAACCTTATAGGTTTTTACAGATGAAAGCCAGCACTTTGAGCTGTAACTAAAAGTTGTATCCCTGCAATAAATGTGAAGCGTCCAGATGTTGTGTTTTTCCCCTTTTCCTGGATACTTTTTTCTGCCTACGTGTATCATAAGTACTTTAGGTTACCCTGGGTTCTGGGAAAGTAGCCCCAGAAATCTTCCAATATAAAAATAAATATTAAGACACATTGGCACAGCAAAAGTCTGAAAGACTTCTTGTAAGATACTGATTTTAAGTTTTATTTCACTGGTTAGATTATAAATATAGAAATAAAACTCACCACAACCTGCAGCATTTGATCATTTTGACTTGCAGGGTTTTCAGTTAACATCTGTGACAGAGTCTGCATCAATGTCTTCCCAAGCAGAACCACAGAAGCAAACATAGCTGCTATGCCAAAAATCATCCCTATGTTAAACCTGAAGCAAGCATGTAAATATTAATATAAATTATATCATCTCCAACTTGGTAAGCACACATGGCAAATTCAAATACTTAATGGCTCCCAATTTCCTACACCAGAAACATGCATTCATTGTACAAAAAAGAATACTTAATGCTAAAACAAAAGGGCATCCTATTTAGCTGTCATCACTTTCAGAACAGTAACCATTCTGATTGGAAGGACTGAAATGAAGAATTTCCAGTAATTGTCTTATAGATGCCTAAATGGTATATGTGAAACAATACCAGAGATAAAGAAATCTTGGCTTCCATCTTCCCCAGGTGTAGAAAAGGCGGTTGAAAAAAGCTGTCTGCCATCGCACATGGAATGGAGAGACTGACAATCCATAGGATACAAGCCATTCCTCATAAGATTCTTTCAGAGAAGATGACTATAAGAGAAGGTGAATACAGTAAAACAAAAAAGAAAGTCAAGAACTTTGCAAATTAGAAGTATGATTACACAAATATCTCATGTTTTTTTTTACTTCTGGAAAATGTGTCCCTAACTAATGAGGGCTAGCAAGCCAACATCTGGTATGTTGAGAACATGATGAAGGGCATTCCAGCAAAATGGCTATTAAGAGCAAGTGGTTCATTCACAAAATAGCTGCCTTATCAATGCACAAGACACCAATATAGCAGAACATTATTTGCCTCTTTCTCTTGTTCTTCCACTCCTGCTTATGTTTATCCTGTTCCTGAAAGGTACGTATTCTTCTCAAATAAGTACTGAGCCAAGTCATCCACCATTTTTCTTTCCTTAAAAATGTATGGATCATATGAAGTTCACAGACATGAAATGATGGTGATGCTGAAAGCTGGCTTTCTCTCTTATGTTTCAATAGGAGAGGCGAGAACTATCAACAGAACTGATGTAATCAATTCCACACTGAATATGTACTGTCTTATTCAACCTCTGCTATATTTTTGACTATTTTCAGCTGTTCTTTGGATGGGATGAAAAGCAGGGGCGGATGGAGAATTCTGGGAATTAAAGGCCACAAGTCTTCAAGTTGCCAAGGTTGGATACCCTGATGTAAAGCAACAACAGTGCATTATTTATCAATCTTTTTTCTGGAATGCCTATGGAAAAGTCTTGCTATTTTGAAAGAAATTGCAGCAGTAGATTCCTGTAATAGCAATGAAAACAACGAACCCAACATGCTAACTGAGATGAATGAGTATCTGATGTAAAAGTGCACAAGCTTAACTTCATTTTAAAACAAAATCAAAGAGAAGATGAAATGAGAAGAACCAGAATTCTGACAACAGAAATTGAAGAGATTTGCAAGGCTTGGAGAATATTACTGTGGGGAAGTGTATGCACTTCCAAACTGAAAACTTGTGCCTAATTCATTCTGAATACAGACTTATGACCACAACTGAGCCCAAGATTTCCATTCCTAAATAAGGCAATTAAGTATATTTTGCTTTTTGTACTTTTTCTGCCACTGTTAATTAAATCACTACAGTTGTTAAATTAATCATGTGGTCATTAAATGGATTAGGCTTCCCCCATTGACTTTGCTTGTCCGATGCCAGATCTCTGGGAAGGTTACAAAAGTGATCATGTAACAAAGTACAGGTAATCCTCAACTTACAACAGTTTGTTTGGTGACTGTTTGAAGTTACAGTGGCAATACAAAAAGTGACTTGTGACCATTTTTCACACTTATAATATTAGCATCATCCCCAAGGTTATATAAACATCAAAAGATGCTTGGCACCTGACTCATTTATAACAGGTGCAGTATCCCAGGGTTATGTGATCACCTTTTGCAACCTTCTGACAAGCGAAGTCAATAGGGAATCATCAAAACTCAATTGATCCCAAAGTTTCTATTGCTAAGTGAGACATTTGTTAAGTAATCTTGACGAATGTATCTTTTCTTTTATGTACATTGAGAGCATTTGCACCAAGGCAAATTCCTTGTGTGTCCAATCACACTCGGCCAATAAAGAATTCTATTCTATTCTATTCTATTCTATTCTATTCTATTCTATTCTATTCTAATAAATGTCTCACTTAGCAATAGAAACTTTGGGCTCAATTGTCGTAAGTCCAGGACTACCTATACAAAAAGTGGCTCCCGCACTCAAAAAGTCGCATATAAAAAAGCAGTCCAGTAAACGTTGGATCCTTTTTCCTTGGGCGGCTGGCAGCCCAACCAGCCTTATTTGTGGCCCACCCCCGCGCCTATCAAGCACCTAAGAAACACAAGTTCTCAGCAAGGGAACCAATCGCGTTTCGGTCTTACTCTGCGCCTCTTAAAATAAAATTTAAGAGATTGGAGGGGCAGCGTGTGAGCAACTGTCATTGCAGACGAGGCAAGGTGGGCAGAGCCCGAGCGAAAGTTGGGCAGAACGAGGAAAAGGCTCGCGGCCGCTATGAGCTGCTCCTCTCCCTCCTCTGTAGACTTGAGGAACGTATCGCCTGCAAAGATTTCCCATACAAGGGCCTAAGAAAGGGAAAGGCTTACCTTCAGTATCGTGTCGCCTATGTATATGGCGCACCAGCCCCCCAACACGCAGACCACCACGGGCAGAGGAATCATAGCGACGGCACCAAAGCGAAACAAAAGTGGCCACGGCAATCAGGCCGGCGATTCACACTTTACGGCCCGGAACAAAATGTCCCGCGGAACTAGAGCGAGGAAACCGCATTTCCTGAGAAGGAGACTTCCGGAAAAAGCACCGGGAGAAACCTAGAGTGCTGCGTGTTTGGTTCTTGGCGTTAACTTCAGGTTCTACTTTGCAGTTGATAGATGGCTTCCTTTCAATTGAAATATTGGGGAATTGCGTGAACAGCGGAAGTCTTTGTTGTTTTACATTTTGTTCAAATCATAACTATCTATTGAAAAAGTCCGAGCGCACATCTTTCCCACCTACTCGCACGCCTGGGTTTTTTCTCGAGAAAGCTTTTTAATGCTCCCTAAGGTTTCACTAAGTGTCTGTGGAGATTCTCAGTCATCCAGGTCATGGTAGTTCCTAAAGTGCTTTTTCAAAAGGCAACTGGACTTTTTTGGGGTTTTTTTTTCCTTGAAGACGTTTCGCTTCTCATCTCAGAAGCTTCTTCAGTGAAAGTCCAGTTGCACCTTTGAGTTTCACTAACTGGGAAATGTCCGGATTCGGAAGAAAAATCTCACCTGCGAAATTTCTCACTAGATATTTAATATCATGAAAATGTAGAAGGGAGACAGGCAGCTAGAAGTCCTCTCCTCGCAACAGCGTATAGGTGGGTCTAGAAGGGAAGGCTGTGTTAAATTTATTGTACTGGAAGCAAAGACACTCGTGGCACATGGAAAGCAAATTTTATTAGCATAGATTGCAGGAGTAGGGAACGATGGCCCTTTAAAGACTTGTGGACTTCAACTCCCAGAATTCCCAGAACTCAACTCATTTTCAGAGGAACTAGTGGACGTTCCAGCGGAAACCCGAAATCTGCCCCAGGAGTGTTTGCGTGCGTGTTTCTGTATGCACTTGTGTTACAACTGCAGGAACGCTTGTTCAGCAAAATTCCTTCGAGCCATTCCGATGCTTAGCGAGGTTCCTGGGACGATCAGCTGAAGACCAGTTGACCTATAGCCTTTTATGTTATATTTTGGAGTCCACAGTGTTCTTTCCTTATTCTACACACCCCACAGCTGCCATAGCTTACTTAAAAATAAATGTACAATACTGGTCTGGTACTTATAGACTGAACATTTATCATCTTGTGAAAAGAAATATCCATCTGGTTCAATTCCAAGCAGGGAGAAAGGCACTGGAGACAAAATGGAGACTGGAGGCTAATTGGAAAGAGGGTCCATTTATTGATGAAGTAGAATCACATGGAGCTGAGAAGGGTGGTAGTTATATCTTCTATTGGGATTTGCATTGAACTTCCTGTTCATGTGCAAGAGCATGTATTTTATTGGCTGTTGTAGGGGTTATGTGGGGGTCATAGCTGGCTCTAGCTTGTCTGAGCTAAGTTTGATTGAAGTTTGGACTGATGCAATGAAGGGGCGTTGGGCAATTCCTATTGTGGCTGAACACTAATCCTACCTTTGTTGGATCTTGGGTGAGGATATTTGCTTATGAATAGAGCTATCTATTTATCTCTTAAGTGCTGACATCTGCTATGGGCTATTAAGGAAGGTGGGGGCTGCTTTCCCTTTTTTTATAAAGTTTTTTTTTTTAACGAACATATCATCTTCCATTAAACAGTGTATTTTCTGGGTACAAATGTCTCTTTGCAATTATAATCAAAGTTTACAGTATTCATCACATTGATAATTCTCTAATCTTACAATATTAATAATCACCATTATAACTATTCATTTCTCCCTCTTAATGGGGATGCTTTCCAAGAGCATGTTTTTTTCATTTCTCTCTTTAGGGAAATATATTCTGCCTTTTTAATGTTTCCAAAAATATCTCATTCTTCTAGGAGAGAAGTGGGCGCTAACTTTCTATACTCTTTACTTGTGGAACGTATGCCCAGCATGAATTTAAAGCGAGGGAGGTTTAGGATTTCAAATTCAGTCTTGTTTGATTTTCTGGTTCTCTGAAGTGTAAAAGGGCATCTGTAACACAGCCTTCATTCTGTGGTAAAAATGCACTCCACCCCAATCCTTTTGACTATGCCCCAAAATTGCAATAATAAAACTCAAAGCCAGGAAAAATTTATACTGAATCTGCTAATAGTAAAAGAACGCCATCTCCATTTTTTTCTTCTTCCCGTAATACAAAATAGCTGCAGGTAAACAGCCAGCTCTTTCAAGCTCTGAAAGAGAAATAATGTTACAATCATGAACTTGAGTAACCTTTGTCATTGAGAAACAATGACTCAAGCCTGCCGATCCATTAAGAAAGGTATGCTAGAGCAGTGGCCCCCAACCTTTTTTGTGCCACGGCCTGGTACCGGCATCACAAAATGATCCGCGGCCCGGTACCGGCATCAGCACCCATGACAAGGCAAGGCGAGCCGAGCGACCAGCCAGCCAGCCGTCCCCCGCTTCTCCCCTCTACCTTCAACTCCTCCTTTGTACCTTTTTTGTGCTTTTTTGTGCTTTCTTAATCTCCTCCGCCATCGGGACGGCTCTTTTTTCGAAGCCGCCCGCCCCCCTTCGATGAAACTAAGGCGCAAGGATTCCTTCAGGACCCAAACACCGCTTTCCAACCGGAAAAGCTCACCCGGAAGCACTTTCTCGTCGAAACAAGATGGCGGCACCCAGCAAACCAGCGGCCCGGTAGAAAATGATCCACGGACCGGTACCGGTCCGGGGTCCGGTGGTTGGAGACCCCTGTGCTAGAGGCAATAGATAGACCAAAGATAACAGGATAAAATCAATTACACATTTCTGACAGGATTAGTACCAAGGGAAGCTGATAATTAAAACCCATCAGGAGCCTTTGCAAAACAAGATTTTACTTGTTTTGCAAAGACTCATGATGGGTTTTAATTATCAGATAATAAAAGCACACAAAGCAAACCTCAAAATTACAAAATACTGTAAACTGTATGTATAACCAAGCTAATTTGTCAGCCACCCCAGAAACATGCTTCTGTCTCTAAAGTTTCTGGCAACTAAAGAAACAGAAATCTTTCCTTGTAGCCAGCCTCTATTTTATTTCCAGTGTCTTTCTCCCAGCTTGGAACCAGACAAGATTTTTCTTCCAAAGATTCCATCTGCAGCCCCCTGGGAGCAAGAATGAGATGATGAGTGACTGGGATAGTGGGGAGTGGGGGGGGGGCAGCCACAATTACCCAAGGGCTTTACCTTCTTTTCAATCTTAAAATCTGAATTATTCATTAGTTTTGTTTGACCTTGTATGTTTATTAACATCCTTGACTTCTGTTTATTAATCTTAATACCTGCTAGTGTAACCAAAGTATTTTAGCAATAGCAATGGTACTTAAACTTATATACCACTTTACAGTGCTTTGCAGCTCTCTCTAAGCAGTTTACAGAGTCGTCATATTGTCCCCAACAATCTGGGTCCTCTTTTTACTGACCTAGGAAGGATGGAAAGCTAAGTCAACCTTGAGCCGCTCAGAATCGAACTCCAGGAGTAAGCTAAGTTAGCCTGCAGTACTACATTCTAATCACTGTGCCACCATGACTCTTTTCTTTTGGTCAATTTTTTTATTTTATATTACATATACATTTCAGTGTGTGAACAGTGTGACGCCTGAGTGCCATACATTTTGGTACAAATAAAAATAATATTACTCATGATTATTACATTTATCCTGCTTATATATTTCTAATAGTAATACACATTTATAGTAGGTTATAATCTTTCATTATTTCATATTGTTTAAACATACCTGATACTACCGCCATTCAATTTCTAAACCTCCCTCTTGTTACATTTATCTTGTAATATAAAAATGTGTATACTGTTATTCTCCTTTTCTCTTATTTCTATCTCTATTCTAACTTTGATTCATTTCACCATTATATTAAAAGACGTTTCCTTCTGTCTTTCATCACTCATTTACTTTAACACTTTAATTCATATTGATATTTCCCTAATTTAACTCTTCATGTCTATTTCTATTAAAACTTCATCATTATTTCATTATTTAATGTTTCAATCTTCAATTCTGGTACCAATTAAATATTATTTAAACATATGATATAATTCTATTCATATTCTATATATTCATCCAGTTTATATGATTCTTCTATTAATACACATATTTATATTCAAATATATTCTTTCATTATTTTGTTATGCTCACTATTTGACTATTATTTCACTGCTGATCATAATATTATTTAAGCATATTTACTAGTACCATCGTTCAATCTCTAATTTTCCCACTTTAAATACTTAATTCTTATTCATATATCCCGTATTCTACTCTTCACATCTATTTGTATTAAAATATTGTCCTTCATTATTTCATTATTATTATTTCGTTGTTCAATGTTTCAATATACTATTCTAGTACCTATCGCAATACATACAAAATAATTCTGTTCATAGTCTTTGCTTTCATCCCGTCTTTATAATTCTAATGTTAAAACACCTGATTATGTTAAAATATGTTCTTAAAGAAAGATCTCCTCTCTCTCTCTTTTCTATCCATCATCTCTTGTTCGCATCAATATTTTAAGTCTCATTCTTTTTTGACTTGCCTCTCATATTCTCTTGGATCTTTGTTGTCTATCTATATCTATGTCTACATCCTGACTGTTCAATCTAAATATTTCTCCCATCCCTACCCTCTTCCACTATCTAACTTTGTGACTATTTGCTCTGACCCCTATCTCCATTCCCAAAGCATCTTCTCTGTTTAAATCTCTTAAAATATCCCCCCCCCCCCCCGGTGAGATTCATCAGTCATTTTTAATGTTATTGGTATCTCCTCCTTGTTATCTTCTTTTGCTGGTTTCCCAGTTCTGTTTCCCTCCATTCCTTCTACTGGCTCCTTCTTTTCCTGAGCATCTTGGTCTTTACTCATTATCCCTTGTATAATATTTTCCAGTTTTTGGTCTATGCCATCTATTAATTCCATGGTTGCCTTGTGTTCTTTCTGTATCATAAACTTTAGCTCCACCTCATTCAAAGTTCCACTCCTTTCATCCATGTATTGCATCTTGTCTTGTTTTAGTAAATCCCACTTTTGGCCAATATCCCAAGAACCCTTTATTCAAAGCTGAGGTTACTCTTCAGAATGCACACAAGCCACAGTTCTTTATGTCCTACAAATAGTCAGTTCCATTTAAATAGTCTGCGGAGTTATCCAAGACTCCTTAAGTCACTTTTATAAGTTCAATCATACAACAACATTCAGGGGTCATTTTAATTAAAAAAAATTCCTTGTTATCATATTTAAATCTCCAGGGGTCTTAGGGTAGGTGAATATAACCCAGTAGGTATTTTCACAGTCCTTCAAAGAAATGTTCCCAGGCATATATATTTTTCTCTCATCAGCAGATAGTGCTTTCTGCATAATAATATTGTTGCTGGTAGATCTGATTTTAATTATTTTGAATTGTGATTCAAATATAAAAACAGTATTAATTTCTAAATCCATAATTCCAGCATTTTAAAATGCCTTCTTAATTCCATATCTTCCCAGTTTGGGAGTCCAATTTCCTGTATTTTTGAAGAAGAAAAAAGTTTTTTTCCTCTCTCTCTTTAATTCTTTTCCTTCTGGTTTGATAATTTTCTCAGAGTGTTTACTCACTGCTTTAATTCTAAGTTAATTCTGAGTTAGTAGTTCCCCTGAACTTTCTCTTGGGGTTGAGTTTAGTAAAAAAAGGCTCCTCTCACCCAGTTCCACACTGTTCCAGCAGAAATCTTAGGAACTCATCGGCTGTCCTGGCTTCATGGAAGCCATCTTGGGGCTGCCTCTTCTCCTCACCATGGCTGAGAGGGAAAGAAAGCCCTGGTTCAGGCAGGAGAGATGCGGCTCTCTGCAACCTCTCAGGGCATCCCTCTTTGTTTCACCACTCTTACAGGGTGGCTTTGGCTCCTTTGGGAGCCCACCAATAGGGAGAACTTGGCACAGCAGTGTGGAGACCCGGTCCTCGTGTCCGATCTCACCGCAACATCAGCCAGAAGTCCACCATGACTCTTTAATATATCAACAAATGTTTCAGTTTCTTTAAACACCAAATCATCTGAAAAATCTCTTAACTTATTAGTCTCTTTTTTAATCTTTACTGCAACAATTCTCTCATTCCTTCTTATGTCTCTATTCAATATTTCAGGAACCAAAATAAACAGAAGATTGGGGGATACAGATTTGCATTGGAAGTAGAGTGTGGTTTATAAATATTTATAACTATCTAAGAAATTGGATTTAGACCAGCTAGTTATATATCTAATATTCTAGCAAAGGAGCACCAAGACTTTAGAAAGGCCTATTTCAATTAACAATGGGGGGGGGGGGGGGGGGGAAATGAAGTTGTGCTTCATTATTATTCATATTGTTGAGGTAATTCCCCATTAGGAGAATGAGCGCATACAGGGAGACGTATTTGAGAGTAGTGTTTGAATAATACACACACAGCACACAGATACACTGTACAGTAAATGTAGGTTTTTTACTTTCAAGAAAGGTTTAAGCAAAGTTCATTGATAAGCAGTCCAAAGTCATTCACAAGTAAAATCAGTCAGTTTTCATCCAGGGATAATCCAATAACAAAATCCAGTGTCAAAAACAGTTCAGTATCAGACTTACATCAAATCCACAAATAGCAGTCAATTAGGAGGAACGGCAATATTCTCCAACAGAAGGAAACAGAGACTCACACTCTCTTCTGAGACTAAGACTAAACCCAGGTTTCTGGCTCCATCTTATGGCCGTTTGAGAAACCATGCCCAATTACAATTTTAGCATTCCCTTAAAGAGACAGTATTAAAATGTCTATCCTGGTTTTTATATAGTTCCATCCCAAATAGCTGTTGGTGACTCACATTCCTAACACATATGGTTTCTTTTTTCTTTGTCTTATAATTATTCTGTTGTATTTGAACATGTACTTGCACTGAAAAATATTGTATGCTTTGAGATAGATATTTTTTCTTTTTCTTTTGGGGATATGATTGATTATAGGCTTTAAGTAAGATTAATTAGCACCAAGGCAATCAAAATTAAACATTAAGAACAAATCCTTGCCTGGGGATTAGCCATTACCAAACAATGTCTGCATGCCCTCACCTGTATCTCAGGGTCCTCTAGCAATTAAGATGTCTAAGGATAGCCCATGGGACTCCATTCTTGAAGTGGGGTTTTCAGTCCTATCTTACCTCAGGACGCTGTGTAGGTACTTATACCTCGAATTTGCAACTCATCCAAAAAGAGCAAGACGCATCCTCTCCCTCCTGGTTTCCATCGTTTCGTCCATCATTTTCTTATACCAAGCATCTGTCAAAAAGCTCAAGATGGAATATCAATTAGTACAGGAAAAAAAAACTCTAAAATTGTATGCATTGACCTTAAAAAAAAAAAATACGGGGAATCATATTCCCCTGATTTTTTTTTTTGACAAGTGACCTGAACATTTGCATGAGGTCTGTTCACTGCAAAACAGTTATATGTTAAAAGGAGGAGGAAGAGGAAGTTGTTAAATGCTATTTACTCAAAACTATTTAAAAAAAAACTTCTGATATTTCTACATTGAGAAAATGGCAGCAACATTACCTGGAACTGAGCACTCATATCTTTTTGCTTGACACTTGAGAGCCTTAGTTTCAACTAAGACAGAATGAAGTTACAGGATGAATCTTATTCTATATTTAGGAAGAACAACTGCAAGCTATGACAGGAATTCTCTATTGCACTTGGCTTCTGAACATTGCTCTATTCCAGTCCCAGAGGTCCTTTCCCTTGATAGTATCCACTGCACAAAGACCTTCATCTATTTCACATGAAGGATCTCAGCTGACCTAAGTGGCCTCAGTCAGCAGCAAAGGGAGGTGTAGCATTCACTCTTCTGACTGGAACTTTTCTGATATAAATAATCAGGTACCTAATGGGAGTTGAGGAGGGAGGGGGGCAGCTTTAAAAAAAATAAAATGTTGACTTGGGAAATACATTTATAGCTAGGGAATAAGGACAAGGACTATGTTGCTGTGAATGTGATTCTCTTTATACCAGGTCATTAATGTTTTTCATTAACTATTGCAATTACTGAATACACAGACAAGAGTTTTTAAATTAAAGAATGTTGTTCTGAGATTTTGCAGTTTCATAAATGTACGTGCTCTTGTATGATTTTCATAAAAGCCTACTGGGCACACTTGGTGACAGCTAACCAAATGCATGTTTATTTTTCTTACTGTGGCTTTGTGGAGAGCCATATACAAATAAGCAAAATTTTAATATTCAAAGTTTGAACCCAGAAATATTTCTCTCTCTATGCTAAAAATGCTTATCATTCACTCTGGAGTCACAGTGACCTTTCATGAAATGAATTGCACAGAGTTGTATTCCCCCTCCTTTCTGAGTAAGCTTGCTACTCAGCATAATTTCTATCTAGATGTTAAAAAAGGATAATGCAGTTCCATTTCATAACATCCATGCCAGTTTTATACATGTTACAAACGGGGGAGGTCAGCATGACAAAGATGTCGTTTCCAGCTTCTTTTCAATTGCATCTAGGTTGCAGGAGTAGGAAAGATGGATATTAGAGAAACACCTTGCACAGACCTCCACTTCATTCAAGCAAATTGACACAGCTTGGTGCTAAATGTCCCTCAGCACTCCCCACAGGGCTTATTTTTAGATAAGGCAGAGCAGTTAAGAACTCCCCCCCTCCCTCCATTTATTTCTTCCTGTGCCTCATGCTGGATCACAAATCTTAGGGACCTTGGCATGTAAAGTTACTTACTAAGTTATTTAAGGGAAGGGCTTTTTTTGGGGGGGGGGTGGTCATAAAGGATAAGTCATGAGATCAAATCTGTATGCCTGATAGGATTGGCTTTTTCAGTCATTTATCATGTTTACAATTTAAATGATTTGTTCAGATTGTTTAAATTTGAAATTATTCAATTACTGATTATCACTCTGCTCTGTAACCTATAATTTATGGATATTCTCAGCCTGTTTTTTTTGTCTTAAATGATGTAAGAAAAACACTGAAAATTATCCTCCTAATTGTCAATTGTGCCCCAGAGTTCTTGAACAGATGGGGACAACCAGGGGTGGACTTCAAAATTTTTAGCAAAGGGTTCTCTGCCCAATTGCTGGGTAGGCATGGCCATGGTGGGTGTGGCCTAGTCAGCCTCCTGCCCCATAGGGGGCATTTTTGCCCTCCCCAGGCTCCGGAGGCTTTCCTCGAGCCTCTGGGGGGGTGAAAATGGCCTCCCCGGGCTTCAGAGGCTCTCTGGAAGCCAGAAATGGGCCCATTTCCAACCTTCCCAAACTTCCAGGAGGCCCATTTTTCACCCCGAGCCTCCGCGCATACTGCGCACTTACCTGCATCCAAAACTGGCTGTGTGAGGATTCCTGGGAGGGGCGAGGTGGGAGGGGTGGGGCCAGCCAGGAGTGGGATTTGGGGATTGTCTGAACAAGCCCCAGTTGAGTCCCCATTCCCAGGCCAGCCTAAGCACCACTGCCATGCCACTGCTGCCCTCAATGCTTGCGGCTTAGCAAGCTTCCCCCCTCCACTGTCACCAGCCTCCAACTTACCTGGCTTGCTGGTGACAGAGAGTAAGGCAAGCCAGGGCTGACCCATTGCCACTTGGGTCCCCACCAGCCTGCATCTCACCCCCCACCTAGATTATCTGCAGCTGCTGGGCCTTGCCTGCTAGGGGTGAGGGTAAGGGGGGCGACCAGGGAGCATGATGCTATGCCACCTGGGCCTGCAACGCCCCTTTGCCTGCTGCCCCTTCCCTCTGTGAGGGGTGATGTGGGCAATGTAGCCTCATGCTTCCTGGTTGCCTTCCGCACTCCCCCCCCCGGGCAGCTGTGAGCCCCAGCAGCTGCAGAGAATCCAAGCAGGGGACAAGCTGCAGCCTTGCCCACCCCACTGGCAGCTCTGGGGTAGACAGCAGTTTGGGCTTTCCTGACTGCCTGCAAACTTACCTTCCTCCTGTGGCTGGTGGCAGGGGGAAAGGTGAGTCAGCCACGGTGGGCCGGCTCACCTTTCCTACAGCTCACCTTTCCCGCAGCTGTTGGGGTGGGCGAGGTTGCAGTGCATGCCCTTGCTTCCCTTGAAGTTCCAGCCCTTTCCCCAAAAGAAAAAGGGGAGGAAGTCCCACCTGCGGCCCCTTTGTTGGATCCAGAAGCCTTGCCTGCCAGCTTTTCCAGGTAACGTGGGAGCAGGTGTGAACAAACAATCATGCCCAGTTCCTGGGACTCTGGGAGACTGGCCAGGAAGATCCCTAGTCACAAGCAACGCTGCTGGGCGAGTCCTTTGTTGGAAGTGTATGTGTGTGTGTGTGTGTGTTTGTTTCAGGTGGGTCTCCTAGCTTTAGAAGGAGAGAGGGAAGGAGGAAGGGAAGGGATAGAGAGAGAGGGAAAAAGAGAGAGGGAAAGAGAGCAAGAGAGAGGGGGAGAAAAAGAGAGGAAAAGAGAAAGAGAAAGAGACAGGGAAACTGAAGGGGGGAAGAGAAAGAGAGAGAAAGAAAGAGAGTGGGAAAGAGAGAGAGAAAGAGAAAGAAGAGACAAGAAAGTAAAGAAAGAAAAGGGAAAGAGAAAAAGGGAGAAAGGAAGAGAAAGGAAGAAAAGGGATAGACAAAGTGGGGTGGAAGGAAGGGACAGAAAGAAAGAGGGGGGGGAGAAAGTGAATGAGATATATGGTGGATAGATAGATACATGGAAGGAGGGAGGGAGGGAGGGAGGCAGAAAAAAAAGGAGAGGAAGGAAGGACACAAACCCTGGCTTCAGAAGACTTTTTGAAACAGCACAGCAATCTAGGGCTGGCCTGCAAGGAATCTCAGAGGTCATCTTCTAGTCCAGCCCCCTGGTCCACCAGGGTTAGAAGGGTGTGTGTGTGTGTGTGTGTGTTTGTGTGTGCATGGCTGTCAAAACTTCAAAAACAGGTCAAGTAGCCCTGGGGAGGTCAGTCATAAATTAGAACACTTGCTAAGTAACCGGCCATTAAGCAAGGACCACTTGTATTTGGTTTGCCAGTCACATGGCCACCTGACCACAGCTGCCCAGTTCACATGACCATCAAGCCACGCCCACCCAGTCACGTAACCAGCAAGCCATGCCCAGCCAGCAAGCCACACCCAGCCAGTCACATGACCACCAAGCCACACCCACAAATTAAGCCACACCCACAGAACTGGTTGTTAAAAATTTTGAATCCCATCCCTGGAATTAGTATAGCATCTAAAATCACATTGGTTCAGGTAGGCTGCAATCCAATGTACAGTGTAGGCAGACAGAAGAAAAAGCTCCATTGAATTCAGGATAACTGCAAGTAGTAGTATTAGGAAAGAAAAAAGAATTTGTCCCATAACAGATCTTTTGGCTGACATTACCAAGATATTATGGCTGGTGCTACAGAATGTAATCCATTCTGTATCCAAAAACCTCTTTTAAGGCAACAAGGTAGGATTCTAAACTCGCTTTCTTACACTATTTTGACGGGTTAAAAATGTGTAGAGACCAAGGCTGAATTAAAATTTCCAGCATCCCTTTATCGCTGGCCATGCCGGGAGGAAAGGGGGAGTCTTAAAGCCCAAAGCAACTAGTGAACTTCTAATTGGGAATTTGTTTTGAGGGATAAATAGTATAAAGAATCAATCTCAAAGTTCCTGTCTAGTACAGCCCTTATATAATTGTATTTACCAGGCTGCTGATAGCTGTAATTTATCAACCATAAAAAGAACACAAGTTCTTCATCCCTAGTGCAAAAGGTTTGGTGCCTCAGAAATAGTTCATTTTCTTCCCCAACATTGAAATGCTTCTGCAATATTAACACATATGGTGAGATTCCAAAAGTGGTTTTGGTGAAAGGAGAAAAAGCTCCATGAAAATATGAAAGTACCATCTATTTCTATTAACTATTAGCCTCCTTCCTGCTCATGCAGTCAAATCTGAAGACATAATGTCCTTAATATCTCTATTACTAAATAAAATTAAGCAAGTAAAAGAGAGGAGGGGGATTGTAATCCAAGAAGATAGTCTATTTTTAACTCATCAACATTCTGTTGTCCTGATTTCTCAAGCAGCAATGAGGTCAGTTAAAATTGGCATGGAAAAAAAAGTTTGCCTCTGCTTAAAGTAATTCTATGCAGTTGTATCACTGAAGAATTTCCATTTTGTTTATATTTTATTCTTATCATTTATTTTTAGTCCCAATTTAAGGTTACATATAAACTTAGAAACTGGCTTCTGGAAAACAGTATATATCCAAGCCATGCCAGACAGGTAATCCTCAACCTATTATCACAATTGTGCCCAAAATTTGTGTTGCTAAGTGGGAAATTTGTTAAGTGAGTTTTGTCCCATTTTACACCTTTTCTTAGGCACAGTAAGATGGGAAGCTGTATTGAGCATACCGAATGCTATTGCTCTTGTAGTTTCTAGGGGTCTTTATTTTCTGAAATCCCTTCTTATCAGACCTCTGAGTAGTTTATTTATCCTTAGGTTACAGTCTACTGAAAGACATGTTCATCCAGAAAACTCTGGTTTCGTATATAAGGGTTTTGCAATTCTGTTTTGTGAAGTGAAATAAATAGTAAATAAATAATGTAGATAGTTATTAACTTGTGCCTTTGATGGGATGTGTGCTCCTTTCCTATTGTATTGTGAAAGTGATATTATCTCATTGGATCTATTAAAAATTCAGTACTGAATTTCAGAGGTTCTAAGTTCCTTGCAGTATTCTGTGGGTGTATCTTAGTAACTCTGAAACTTGAGTCCGAAAGATAATCTGAGCTGATGAATACATAGTTACCAGGAAGCACCATAGTGAAATTATAGGTTAAAAAAATCTTTGCTTATAGAATGCCATTATAACCCATAAAGGTTTTGCTATCATTTTTTTTTGTTTCCTTAATTGATTTTAGTTTTTTTGCAGTGAAAACTCTATTGCTTAAATATGTCAAATCAACGAGCTTCAAATGTCAGAAGCATTCAGGTAAGGTATTTTGTGTGATTGCTTATAAATTACTTTAAATGGAGAAGAGATACATGGGATGGAGCTTTATTTCTAGTTAGGAATTATTCTCAATTTGCTAGAAATGCAGCTAAATTATTTTGAGGAAACAATTTATTGCATGTCTCACATATTTTTATTAGCATTAAAAATAATCACAATTTGCTTCCCCCGTGTGCTTTGTTCCGTGTAAAAAAGCAATTCAATATGTTATCTAAAGTTTAAATAGTGCTATCATACACATACATACACACATTACTTGTGCTGTTACTTTTCCTTATTCTCCTTGAAAATTAACTTATCACTATTAGCACTCTTTTAGCTGGTAACTGGAAATAAATCTCTCAATTAAATATCTATGGAGATTCTCAATCTTCCTTGTTTTTCTTTGAAGATGTTTTGCTTCTTCTTTGCTGAAGAAGCTTCTTGGATGGGAAGGGAACTTCTTCAAGGAAAAACAAGAAAGTCCAGTTGCCTCTTTAAAAAGCACCTTTGGGACTCTCAATTAAATACCTGTTATTGATGTTCCTTGACAGGAAAATGCTGGCTATATTCCATTCTGCCAATTCCAGATAGTGTTCAGCTAAAACACCAGATAGCTTGCTTGTTGGTCATGCTTAGGTAAGGTTGATGGGTATTTCTGTGAACAAAGGAATAAATATAATTGAAATTAGACATTTTTTATTTCCTTGTAGGTCATGTTGGATAGCTCTAATGAATTAATAAAGCATCCAGATAAGTTAGGCCCAGATGAGTTATTTCCCCAAATATACACTCTGAAGAAACCAATGGCATACGTAATTTATTTGAAACCCAGAGCATCTATCTCCTCTCAATCAATCACTAAAAAGGCCTGGAAACATTGCTAGCTCCACTTACTTAGCAGCGCTAGGTCGCCAACCACTAAACAGCTGATTGGAATGTCATCAATAGCAATCCAACTCCATGCTATTGACCCTATGAATAAACTTCAATTGTTTCTGACAACAGCTCCTTATTGCCTCTATTGAGGACATAGCATTCTCATTCTTAATGTACCACTGAAAGAATCTGAATGGAGAAGGAGAGAAATCCTCATCCAGTAAGATAAAAAAACTAGGTTAGGACTAAGGCTAAATTGATGCCATGCATGATCTATGGACATTCCTGTAATATAATTGTTTTCTTTGGGTAGCCTGTTTGTAGATTTAACTATGGACTTAGATTGTTCCATTGGTACATTTGAATATAAAACAGTGGAATTAAAATACAGATGTTATATCTATACATGCAATGCAAAAATAAATGCAAAAAAGAAAGAGAAAGAAAGAAAAAGAATCAGAAAGTCCAGTTGCCTCTTGAAAAACCACCCCTCTATATAGATACATACAATCTACTAATAAATTATAAATTATGCCCCTATTATTCTGGGAATGGGATGACCAAGGCTCTAATGTTATTGTAAGAGTCTGAATTTGTTATAGATACAGTTTTTGAAGAAATAAATATTTTGCTTCCTAGTAATAGTAATAAACCCAATAGGATGCATACTTTATTAATTTTCCATCATTAAGAGTCATTTACTGCAGTTAGGCAAAAGATCAAGAGAGAAATATAAGTAAAAACATACAAAAAGAACCCAACATAAATTAGGGTTAGGATTAGGGTTTTATTAAGGAAGAAGAAAAACATTGATATTTTTACTGATACTTGCAGCTAACAAAACAATCAGTAAAGCCATGGGCATTTTTTGTTGTTGTTCCTATGAAGAATGAAATAAAAACTGAGCAATGATAGTATTTATATTTACATTTTACATTTTGCTTGATTCCATTCAAAATTTGACAAAAGTGAATTCCAATACATTAATGTCTAGTCATGAATGATTAAACAATTATGTTAACTATATTTAATGTGTTGAACTCAGTGCTGATTTAATTTATAATCCCTTTATTATTTATAACTGAAGTCATCCTTCAAGATTTTCTAATTAATAATTAAGGGATTTTGTTGCTCTTTTGACATTGAATAAAACTTATTTGTGGGAGGAACCTCAAAACCAAAATTGAACTGATGCAGGCCCCATTTTAACTATAGATTTTCTGTGTTGTAGAATGGAAGGGATAACATTTTCCTACTATCTATTCACAAACTATGTATATTGTTATACTGTTAATACTGGAAAATTATTTGTTGTATATTCTAATTTCAGCAAAAACATTTCACAGTGTCAAATGATCCTTGATTAACAAGTTGGATAGTGTGGGCTATATTGCATAATAGTTAAGGGGATAAGTGGGCTTGAAAATTGGTTTCTCATAACAAAGAATAGTATTGTTCCTTTCTGGGTCCTGTATTATTTAACACTTTGATTCATGATTCAGATGAAAAGCTGCAGAAAATATTTCTCAATTTTGAAGATGACACAAAATTGGCTGGTACATCTAACAATCCAGAAGACAGAAATAATTATCTGAATTATCTTGAAAGCTTAGAGAAATATGCTAAAAGAAAATTAAATTGAACAGAGACAAATTCAAAATTATGTGTTTGAGAAACAAAAATATATATATAGTTTTTTTCAATGGGAAAATTTTGGCTTCGCAATAGCACTTATGAAAAAAATGTTTGGTGTAGTTCATTATTTACGATGCAGTCCATTGTGGTCCTTGGGCATTGTCCTCCAGATCTCTTCTGGTTGGGACAGAAATAATAGAATTCAGACGTTCTCCTCTGCATCTTCTGGGCCTGTTTGCAGTTCACTAGCCCTGAAAGAAGGATCTCATCAACTAACAGGTCAAGGCACTGAGAGGAGATCCCAGAAGAGCATTATATTCATGTTTATACCTACATTAAATAGAATGCTTGAGGTTTATTCTCTACTATGTTTTGACCTTTGATGGGAGGGAAGCAGTGGTGGTATGCTATCGGTTCAGTCCGCTTCTGCTGAGCCGGTAGCGGCGATGAGCAGCAGAGACAGAACCGGTTCTCACCACCACTCTACTGTTGGGCCCACCTGCCCACCTGGGCTCCCATACTCACCTTTATCTTTTGCTTTTGAAGCACAGCTGCATTGCATGGCACAGAAGAGTGCTGCGCGGCAGCTGCTGAAGCAATCTGGAGAGTTACAGGCTTGAAGGAAGTGAGTCAAAATGCCTCTGCCCTTGCGCAAACACCTCTGCGCCTGTGTAAAGTGCGTGTTTGGTGTGCACGTGTACGCAAAGTGTGTGCATACATGCAAAGCACGCCCACCAAGCCACACTCACCAAACTGGTGATAAAAGTTTTTGAATCCCACCACTGGAGGAAAGGGAAACAAAGCTGGCATCCAGGCTGACTCTTATCACACCTCTACTTGCAACTTGACAACAGAAACAAAGGAAGTATGGAGGGAATGCTTGGAATGTATTGGGAGCTGGAAGGGAGGTGAGGAATTTATGTGAGCCGTTTGCAGCCTGAGAAAATTCTGACACTTCAAGGCTGTGCAATGGGAATCTTCCAAAGGTGCAGCCTGTTTTCCCAAAATAAAAGCAACATGTTAGATTAGTGGACAATGGACAATGAGTGGCCCAAATGGAAAAAGGGGAAATTAACTATGCTGCTTTTCACCTGAAAACCTCAGAGTAAGCTTTGCTTCTTCTGTGCCTATATGGATCTATGAGTAAAGGCATATTCTTGGTAAAATAATATCCCAGGAACTAAGCCAACTTTCCAATAGTAGCCTACCTGGACCTCACCAGAAGGCCAACTCCCCCAAGATGTCAGCAGCTGATAAAGAGTCAGAGGAGAAGCCAGGAGAAATTCCAGCCAAAGGGGCTCTGGCAGTGCTGCAAGCCAGAGCAGGAGCACAGCCGGTTGGCATGCACTCCAAACAGAAGGTTGAAAAACTTGAGCAGCGGCCAATGAGTATGAGAAAGTGGGAAAGGGATGGTCTGTACCAGGGTCCCAAGACCTGCTGGGCAATGAATGTGGATAAGGCAGTGGGAGTTTCATTGGGAGTCAATGATATCAGGGTTGAAAGATGAAAAGCAAAATGGCCAGTCGAGTGGGACTAGCCCACTGAGTGGATGTTCACCACCCACAGCCCATTGATGGAGCAGCTGAAGGAGAAGTTCAGTGGCTTGGAGATCCAGGTGGCCACATCATCCAGAGCCACAGTGGCAATAACCAGATGGGAGGTGTTAAGTCATTAACAGCATCAACTAGCTCATTGGCTCTCCTCCTCCAACTGATGGTGCCTACCCTGACTGTGTGGCCAAGACCCTGGCATAGGGGGGTGATGACAGCTGAACCAGCTATACCACCCCCAGCAGGGCAGAAAGTGGCTCTGGCAGCAGCTGGGGTCACTGTACACCTGGCAGCCAATGGTACCAGCAGGGCTGCCACTGGGATACAGCCTGGTCTGAGAGGAGTGACCAACCCCTAATGGTCTGCTTTGATGGGTATCCAGATAACCTGGCCCTCTTTCTATCCCAAGTATGGCACCATATGGAATGCTATGGAGGAATGTATCCAGACAATGCAGCCTGGGCTTATGTCATTGTGTCTAACTTGGAAGAGAGCACTTCAGGATGGCTGGCGTCCCTGCACAATGAGGAGGCTCCAGAGCTGAATGACCTAGATGCCTTCATGCAGACCCTGTATGAGTGGTTTGAGGACCCCATGATGGCTCAACATGCAGAAGCCCCCTGCATCCTCACCCTGAAACAAGGCAAGCAGCCAGTGATGGAGTACATTCAGGACTTCTGTAGCCTGGCTAGCCACCTAAGAGATAGGCCCAAGTGCATGCTGGACTACCAGTTTTGAGAGGGGCTAAACAAGGAGTTATACCACAACTGCCCACTCTGAAAGGATACCACAGAATCTGCAGGCATGGTACCAAGTGGCCACTGAAGTAGAAATTGAGTTGATGGAGTACCACAAGCACACCCTGAAGAAAGCCAACCTTGCTGAGTGCCCAAGAAGTGACTGGCCCTTAGAGGAGGTGGGGGGCATGCCCCTGGC